CCTATTTCTAGTAACTATCTCCTAGATAAGCTTTGAAAAGGTTCCATGAGTAACTAATTAATATAATTTCTCTTCATACGCCAATAAGTTAGGTTATTGAAGAAAAGGAGGCATTCAAGAAATTAAAATTGACAGACAGGCAGATAAAAATTGCCTAGATAGCTCTCTCACACCAAGTTTTCTTTCTCCAACACAGAGAGCTAGCACTAAATCTGTGTCCCACCAAAGCTCCTGCTACTCCTTTAGATAAGGCCAAAAGAGCACTTCAGTGATCCACAGCTGTATGTTTCTTCTGCATAGAACTGAATTTTCCTCCTAAGCAGTCCTGAAGGTTTTCTACTTGCTCATTTTACCTAAGAAAGTACTTACAAATGTCTGCATTTACCTCCACATCTAGATATTAATTTATTAGCAGAAATAGTCACCATAATTATTAGGGAAAAGTCACAGGAAACAATTTTATAATTCCTACAAGTCATTATTCATCTCCAAATATGGTTTCTATTAAGTTGTGGTCATCCAAACAGAGAACAGAAACATATGAAAGACTAAAATACTTTGATTAATGTAACCAGGGAAAACAATTTGCATTTTGAACACCCACAAGGAACTTACCATGCTTCTGCTCACCAGAGTTCCATTTGAATATGCTGAAAATCATGAGTAAGGAGTAGCATATACTGAAATGTATTTTAACACTATTACATTCTATAACTGAGGTGATAAATGTAATATGTAAAATATATATGTAAGAAAACAAAACTAACAAGACTTCTAATGGTGCAGCCATTCTTTAAGACTAAACAAGAATTGAGAATCAATTGATGGAAATAATTTAATAAATTAGAATTTTACATTTCAGTACTGTAATTACTTCACTGAAAAACCCAAAAGGTGAAGATCGCCAGATATATCATATTCTCATAATTTCTTTTACAGAACTACTGGGGAAAAGTCATAAAACTGTATTTTTAATGTCTTGGTTTTGCACATGTAAAATGATACAAAATTTATGAAGGTGGAGAAAATACACTGAAGCATCCAAAAGAATTTTAAATGTCTGTGATAGATCAGGAGGAATATTGGAATGACTGAAATGAAGAAAAGTTTTAAAAGACTGATTTCCAGATAAAAGAACAGAGTTTGTAAATCTCTTTCCACCTAAGCAAACCTCCAACTGAAACCAACTAGACTACTCTCAGGAGCAGACAGCTCATACCTGGTAGGCGCCCTGCCAGGGTCAATGCCACGTTTGCCCTGGACTTTCAGTAGAACAAGGATCATGTTCCTCAATTGATGTGTGCTGTGCTGAACATTTACCCTTTCTGAGATGTATTGAGAATAAAGGCGACAATACCTTGAAATACCTTAAAAAGACAGCAAGGACCATAGTGGATTAAGAAGAGCAAAATCTAAAATGTTACAGGAAATTAGAGGAAAATTAGGACCTCACTAACTTTACACCAATATATACAAGTAATGGATTAAAACTCTTTGAAAAGTTCACTAATCATTCATCAGTCCATTTCCAGAGCTTGTTCCTTAATATCCTTATGCGCGCAAATGAAATGCCACTTGTGAAAATGCCCACAAGAGGAGAAACTCCTTCTGACTCCATTTTTTATGTTAAACAGTTGCAAAATAATGTGATGCGCAAGAGTCAAAGGAGGGATTGTTGCCAAGCTTTTGAAATCAGGTACACTTTCTTTGAGGGACAAACAAGGGACAATTTCATCATACAAGAACTGGCAAAAAAAAAGACAGAAAAACTAAATGTTTTTCAATTAATTATCTTCCTGAGAGACCTGAGACAGAAAGGCATGTATGAAATAATAAAATCACTTTTCAAAACCTTGTCTCACCTTCTTAGGATGAAAAGAAGGAAAAAAAAAAAAAAGGGGGGGGGGGGGGGGGGGGGGGGGAAAAGAGAACAAACTCCCCCAAAAGTAGTGGTAAGATAACAAATACAAATCTACCTTGTCCTTGAGGAACTCCGTAAAATTCAGCCGCTATCCTCGCTGCCTCCTTACGGTTTCCTTTCACGATGTAGAAGTGGCTGAGGATGGCGAGGCTGATCTTCACGAAGAGTTTAAAGCAGAAAAGGGAAAGTATGGTAAAGTAGACATTGGAGAGCTGCTGGGCGAAAGGGCGACTCTCTTCTATGACAGTCATCGCTGCAGCGAAACCTCTCCCGGTGTTTGGGTAGGGCTCCCGAATGTGTTGATAAGATCATATGGCTCCGGCCACGCACTCCCGGGAACAACTGGTCCTGGGTGGAGCTGAAAAACACTAAGATACAAAATGAGTTTATGATGCTTCTACACCAGTTAGGAACAGCTGCTCCCAGTAAGGTCAGTGGCTGCTTTACCAGGGACTTCCATGTAAAAAGCTACAGTTCAAAATTCCCGATGAAGCAAAGTATTCAGCCATAAATACAGGTACTTGGCTTCAGTGGTACAACTCGTATGCCTCAATACGCACACCCCTATGTACTTTTTTCAGCTGGGGCCCAAACGTATCACCACTAAACACATAGAGCTGCTGGATCACAGGCTGGTGTCGATTGTCCTGGAGTTTCCCTCTGAGTTTCTTCTCCCCCACTGGACTAGGTATAAAGCAAGGCAAAGAAAGTCTTTCTGGTTATGCACCTGGCATACATTCCTCTATCCATGGAGACAAAGTATCAGAAAGGAAAAAAGAACATTTTTCCGTGACCCTGAGATTTGATACTGATGCAAAAAAGGAAAGGAATGATAGCGTTTGAAGCCAAAAGCATGAAGTTTCTTTATATTTCCTATGATTTAGTATCTCTCTCCCCCACATACGGCAGATTCCTTTATAAAGACTCTTGTATATGGGCCAAGGGTGCTCCAGCAATGTCTCTGATGACGCAGTGGAAAGTTTCTGATCGCAGTATCATTTGCAGCATTTCTCATTTATTTTATATCCAGTCCCCAAAGACATGCTTTTTCTGATGGAATAAATTATTGTTTTCATTTTTTATGAATAGAATTGAAAATCTATTTGATGACCAAATGAATTAGAATAGGCAATCACATTTTTTAGGTTTGTACGAAATCTGTTGTAAAAGCTGGCTTCCACCTTTCACTCAGTCTAAACAGATAAAAAACATCAGTGACTCTGAAAAAATACACATAGTATCTGTTTAACTAGACTTGTAAATTATTTTTTTCCTGTAATAAATAGGAAGATATACTCACACAGAATGTTTTGCTTTTAAAGCATTTCATACACATTGCAAGCCAATAATATTCATAGCATTGCCATGAGGTAGCTTGGTACGGCTTGCTCACCTTAAAAGTATCATTGCAAGTATAAAAACAGAGGAAGAGAAACCAAATTTCTGGAAGTGTTTGGTTCACAAATCTATATGATTTTATTTGCCGCATGCACCATAGACAAAATGAGTAATTGTGATTGTGACTTATTAATTGGGTGAACAAATGTCTGATTTATACACTCCAGCACAGTAAATAAAGCATACAAAATGCACATGCAGTTCTTCAATAAGAATTTGGAAAATCAGACCTTCCCTCTACAGCCTGCCATCCTTGCTACGAGAGGCTCTACAGGAGGGCAGTACTGCCCAGACCAAGTGATAATTCAGGGTTCCTGACTGTAAGGTCCAAGTCACTGCAGTTTGCCATATCAACCCCATTTTCAGACCTGCTCTCTAGCTCTGATTCTGGCCAGGAGAAGCCTGCAAAGCAGTTCAGTTTGATCATGAACTAACCTGTCTGCCACTTTATCATCAAAGTCTAACCATCATGACAAAGTATATAAAAGAGCATATGCTGCTTTACAGCCCTCTGCAAATTTAAAGAGAAAAAACTCCCGCTGACTTCAAGAGGCTTCAGATCTAGCCCACAGTGGAATAACTGCTCTCTATTTTTCAAGAGACTTGATATATCAAATATCATCTGATTATTCAGGCTTGAGTCTGATCTCACAAAGTGTATGCAGACTTAATCTATTGGGCTACAGCTGCACAGGCTGCCGGTGGCACTGCAGTGCGAGGAGAAGCCACGCTGTGCTCAGGCAGCTGTAGGTGCAACGCGGTGTCACCCAGGGAGCCAACGTGCTCCTGAGTTTCCTCTGGCAGGTGTGAAAGCAGAACCTGACCCACCCACAGCTGGGCTGAAAAATCACCACGTCATCTACACAGCTGCCCACCTTTATAATAATTATTTGCAGCAAAACACTTGACAGCCATTTGACATCCTGTGAATAGATATTGTACCTCGCAGCCTTAGAGGTGAGCACATCATAATCCTGGGATATCAATGTTTAACCATGCTGTAAAGCTATTTACTGAGAAAGTAGTGAATGCTTTCAACTCAACAGCTACAACCTGGAGCTGGTCTCCAGGCTGAGGACTGGGGCAATAAAATGATTCTGTCTGACAAACCACCAGAGATTTGCTGGTGCTATTGCTCAGTGTAGAATCCCCAGCACATTCAGAAGCCTCCTTTAAGGAATTAATGCTTGCTTGTTTTGCCATCCAAAGAATGTTTACAGAAGCCAAAACAACCATGCTTGCTGTCCACTGTGCAAAGAGGTGATGACATCAAGAAGACAGGTCACAAGTCTGAGTTTATAGTCATTACACTTATGTTGGTATGGCTTTTCATCCACTCAGTATGATCTTATGACCCCACAACTTTACAACCTTCCACTCTCTGGGCTTCATAGCACCTCTCCACTGCAGGTTAATCATTTCTCTGCCATTATCTGCCAAGAGTTCTTATCTCTTTTGCTGTCACTTTATAACAGGGTCCTCTTATCAAGCTGTACAAAATCACGTGACGGTGCCCAACCTATCACAGGTTCCAATTCTTCTGATTAGAGACTATCATGAAATGGGATACATGGTTTACAGCAGGTCACTAATGCTGGAAAAAGTACAGAGTCCACTCAGACATGCTTGTTACTTTCTGAATTCTTGGATAACTTTTTTTGTTGTTGTTCATCACGCCGACTTTCACTGAAGGTTATTAGAGCCTGGGTCTCAAGGCCAGAAAAGTTTACAGGCTGCACCTCTTCTGTGCTCAATGCTATACACCTTGCACCCAAGGGTACTATATATTTACACCTAATAATGTCTTCTGGTTCCCACCCAGCCATCATACAGGAATCTATAAAACATGGACTTACATCAGTTGGTAAGTAACAGTTTTCTAAGTGTTTTGAAAATGCTGCATAAATATATTAGTCTTGGGGTTATCCAAACTGAAAAAAAAAAATCATTACAATTGGGCAAGCCAACAAAACTGATTAATTTGCACATGCATTTAGGCAAAAAAGACCTTTATGATACAACATAAAGATGTAAGAAAACTGCTGATGATTCAGTGAATAACACTTTTCTCCAGAGATAGTGATTATCAAATATATAATCAGATAATTAATGATATCTTTATCTATTGCAATTGCTGATAACTGTGAAATTGTGGGGTGGGTGTGTGTATAAACATTTGCAAAAATTGTATTTAAATTGCTTCTGGCCTGACTATTCTTGTTGAAGAAAACCTCAGGAATGTTTTCAGGTCTTTTCTGTGACAAACGTGTCAAATACAGATTGTTTTTATAGCTAAAAACGTGGATATAGCGTCATTCAATGGGGGTGGGCTGGAGAACAGAAGTCGGTTAAGACTTCAGAGCAGCAAAGCAGCAGATACTTTCAGTAGCATATGGAAACAGCACCCACTCCCCACCAGAAAGCTGGCAGGGGCAGGTTGCTCTGGCGTGCAGGCGTGAGGGGCGTTTCACAGCCAGCTGCCCCGGGCTGCAGAACTGCGGTGGCTGTGGCCGAGGAGCCCCAGCAGGTGCCTCTCCCCACCACCTCCCTGCCCTTCTCCTTGCACTTCCTATCTCAGATCGTTCTACCTCTCATCACGTGCCAGGAGTGAGGTGCTTTTCCTTTGGCAGGACGATAGCATCCCTGTGCCAGGGCTGAGCAGGACTGAAGAAGGCTTGCTGAGGGAAACCCCTCCTTTGTGGAGCAAAAAGCTCCTCACAAGCTGGCCCAGCAGCTCTGCAGGTTCCACAGCACAGCCCAGAGTTGTGCAAGGCTGTGCAAGGCTCCTGCCTCGGCACAGCAGTTTATGGCAAGGATAGAAGAAGGGAGATTTGGGTGGCTTGTGGGAACCAGGGCTTGCTCTCCTCCTCTTGCCCCCAAAGTGCCTCATGACATGGCAGGTGAGGGGCTTGGCTTGATGCTGGGTGTGATACGGGCACCTCGCCATCAAGGAAGGCTTTGGGACCGTGGGGATGGAGGGTGCAGCAACAGCTGCAGGAAATAGCTGCAAACATAGCTGAAACCTGATCTTCATCTCCTGGGTGGAGCTGCTGCTTCTCTCCACTGGAAGGGAAGAGTGTCCACAGGAAGGTCTCACACCTCGGACCTGGCTGTGTCCCAGGCAGCTGGCCCCAGGGGCTCCCCTCTCACCTGCTGTACACCTCCCACGTGAGAAGGTGCCCAACACTGTAGCAAGGTTTGCTGGGCTGCAAAAGGATGGCTGGAGGATTAATGCCCCGTGGATCACACTACCAGGCCCATGACCGCCAGCCTCCCAGACAGCTGTGCCTGGTGCCAGCCCCGCTCCAGAGTGGGCTCCTGGTGCCTCTCCTCAGGGGGAGCCACGTGGTCCCTGTGGCAGTGTTGTCAGGGGATTCCAGGCACAGGGCTATTGGCTGTGGCTGTGGCTGTGACCTGGGTCAGGCCATACCTGGGCCAGGAGGGCTGATCCCAGCAAAGCTGCAGAGAATTTAAAGCTTGAGACCCTCTGGTACTTCTCTACAGGTGTGGCGTGCTCCTCCACACAGCTCTGCCCCCAGAAACACATGGAAAAACGAGGCGAGCTGGTCCTGGCTGTCTTGGGCCTTGCTCTGACTTTTACTCTTTCTGGCTGCCGGGGAGGGAAAGGTGTTGGAGGAGCCTCTGGTCCTCCCTCCTCAGCGTGGGATAGTAAAATAATAATACACCTTGTGTATCTGAAGAGCAGTCACTCAAATAAGGTTTCTTGGGGTGAAAAGATACAACCCAAGGGGAAGGGAAAATAAGACACTCTGATCTGTCATATTTAGACAAACTAAGTGACATTTTCATGCTTACCAAAAAGCTGGCAGGTCTGGGCTCCCTAAATCATCTGGATATGAGAAACAGGGTGATGGGAGACATAAGTTAGCAGAGCATTCTTGTCACCATACCTCGAAAATGCACTTATACATGTTCTGTATGACAGATATACCAGGACAGAATTGCAAAGCATGGCCCAGAAAAAGCAGGTCTAAATCCTGTAAAGCTCTTCAAAATCCTGTGTGCTCTGGGCCAGGAGGAGTATTCTGTCCTTGCATGACACTGGGCAGTCAGAGCCCATGGTGGCAGCCCTGGAAAGCACACCTGACTCAGCATTGTAACCTGACTACCATGTACCTGTAGGGTTAATGTAACCAGCACCAGCCTGTGGGCCTCTGCATGGAGGTGGGGGAATCAAATTGGAAGGAGCTGGATTCTGTTCTTATTTGCACTTGGACAGTAATTCTTCAGAAGAAAAATCTGTCCTCCCAGGATACAAATATAATCAGCAGCAGGGCCAAGCTCTCTTAAAAGTAAATCCCATCCCTGGACTTTCACTTTTGTCCAGTCCTCCCCAGTGCCTCCTTCACTTTTTCCTTTCTAACTGGAAGCAAAGCGAGTCGGCTTGTGAGGGAGTCCCTGCCACAGCCTCTGCACCACCAGACCCAGCCCCTCAGGCCAAGGGCACTTGCTTGCTTCCCACGGCATGGGCTGAGAGGTGCACGGAGCTGGAGTGGAAAGGCACCATGCATTGCTGACACCTGCTTTTAGGTTTACAGTCACATAGTCAAAAAGGCAGCCGGAATTCATAAAATCTTAATAGTACATCCTATCATCCAGATGAAGAACATTGTATGGACTTGTAAAAATTTTTATAGAAGTGCCATTACTTTTTTCCTCTATCAGATTCAGATTAGATACGAGAAAGAAATTCTTTCCTGGTGAGGGTGGTGAGACACTGGAACAGGTTGCCCAGAGAAGCTGTGGATGCCCCATCCCTGGAAGTGTTCAAGACCAGGCTGGATGGGGCTTTGAGTAACCTGCTCTAGTGGGAGGTGTCCCTGCCCAGGGCAGGAGGGGGTGGAACTCAATGATCTTTAAGGTCCCTTCCACTCTAGCCATTCTATGATTCTATGATTCTATGATTCTATGACTAGTTTTATTTTCCTTCTAATCAATCTCTCGTCTTAGTGTCATCAGGGACACCATGCAATTTTTATAAGCATTAGCTATGATTATTTAAGAGAAATAACTGTTTCATTAACTTGAAAAAATGGTTATATAAGAAGAAAAATAATCTACTTCTGGCTTCTTAGTGTGAAATTTTTCAGCTTGTCTAATACTTACTGCCATCCTAATTTCAACGTATGTCCTCAGGCAGTTTATAGTATTCTAATTAGTGCATATATAATGAAATTTCATATGGTTGACGAAGAGAGCAAATATTATCTTTAAAAGTTTGGATTAGGATTTTGGCCAGCAATAATGCAGGCAAAGCTTCCACAGAAGTGAACAGTTTGGGCTGTGTGAGGACTGCAAGATATGAGCCATAGGTGATTTTTTTTATAACAGTGAACTTTTGCTGTTATTCTTTACTTTTATCAATTTGCTTCCCATTAGATACTTTTCCCGTCATTACACTGCAAATAAGCTATTTACAAAAGTGCCAGTATTTACATTTACACCTGATTGTTTCCAGCCAGTCTGATTTTAAATACCCAAATACATGAGGCAAAGTGACAATGATGATGCCTGTGGTCTCCAGAGGGAAACCTCCAGTGCTGACAAAACGCCTCTAGCCACTCGTCCGTGTGGGTAATTTAAAGGTCAGCTCTCAAACTTGTCTTTATATAGAGTGAAAGGGAAGAATTATCTGCAGTGGGACTTGTGTTTGGCTGCATTGTGGGGAAAACCATTACAACTTCTCACGCCAGATTATTATTAATGTCTAGAGTTTACTCACGAGTACACTATATGTATTACATGCAAACTTATATATTAATATATATTAATACCTTCTTTTATATAATGAACAGACATGCACACGCACACAATCCTTATCAAGATTTCTCAGTATAAACTACGCTTAGTTTATCAGTTACGATTCTGTGCTTACGTGCGGAGAAATCTTATATGAGAGATACATATAAGAGCACTTTTTTTCATTATAAAGATCATCTATTAATTATTTTTAAATAAAGTTTTCCAAGCTTCAAAACATAATTATTGCGGGGGGGGGGAAGGAGGGGGGGTGGAGAGAATAGGGAGGAGGAGAAAAGCAGACCTAAAACATCTCTTTTTTTCCACCAACAGATCAAGGTCAGTTGCCTCAGCAAAAGACATTTCATTTTTAAGCCTGTCTGTGCAAGATAGAAATCAATTATCTCTTATGATACAGAGAGCAGCGCGCAGCCCTGACAGGAGCCTTGCTTTATATACAAATATATTTGGAGTTCTGTTTCCGGACCGAGCTCTAGCTTTTTTAACCAGATGTTTCACTCTCGGCTCCAAAAGGGCAGCACAGGTAGAAACAAAAGAGGCTCATCAGCAAAGTAAATAATTATCAGTGTTGGGGAGGGGCGGTGGGTTGGCGGCGGAGGAGGGGGAGTGCCGGGCCCCTCCGCAGTGTCCCTTCGGACCGTCCCGGCGACGGCTGCCGCCCGCCCCGCACCGCGGAGCACCGCGCCGGGCAGCGGCTCCGCTTCTGGGCGGGCGGGGGCGGAGAGGAGCCCCTGCTTTGGGATTCACCCCCTGTTAGGGAGAAGCAGCCCCGTCCCCGCAGCGGGCAGGAGCGATCAGAGGGAGCGCGTTTTCCCGTCGCACCGTTAGCGGCAACAGGTCTAAGCAGTGCCGGGCTAGAAGGCGTTTTCCCTACTGAAGTCATGTAATCTACGAAGTAAAAAAAAAAAAAAAAGGTATCTGTGACTGATGACAGGACATCCACTTGATTTAATTTTGCAAGGAAAAGTTAATCAAATCTGGTAATAAAGTGTAAAAGTAAAAAAAAAAAAAAAAACCTAAGAGAATTCCTGCTTGCAAAACTGGATCTCTTAAGTGTCCTAAGGAATAAAGGTTTCCACACTG